AAACTTCATTTTATTGATGGAAATGTGGATACAAACAAATATTTGGCAGTTTTAGAAGAATCGCTTTTACCAGTGATGGAAGAATGTTTGACATCCGGCCAAGATTTTGTGTTTCAGCAAGATGGTGCAGCGTGCCATGCCTCAAAAAAGGCTATAAAATGGATGGAAGAAAATAATGTACCACTTTTGAAATGGGTTTCTAGCAGTCCAGATCTGTCACCTATTGAAACTTTGTGGCACGAGATGAAAAAGGTTCTACGACAACATCCTGCTCGTACAATCACCGAACTGAGACAAAAGCTTCAAGAAATATGGGATCGTTTTACACCAAATTTTTGCCAAAACTTTGTTAACACTATGCCTCAAAGAATTTCGGCCGTAATAAAAAATAAAGGTGATGTTACCCAATGGTAATCTTTCAATTGTTGCTTTGTTAACTTCGCGCATTTATTCGCACATTGTCTATTTGTTCAGATGTTCTATTAGTTATAGGTCTAAGTGATTTCAAATATGTATTTTTTACGAGTAGAGTGTATCTAAAATGTCTTTGAGAAAATAAACTGTTTTAGAAGTAAATAGTTTCGTCATGTTTAGTTTATAAAGGCATATTTTGGTACAAATCTTGAAGTGGGCCAACTGAAGTGGGAAGGGGCTCGTATATATATGAAAATATATTTCGCGGACCATTTTTTTGGAACATCACAATATTGAGTTTTTCTATAGACCCAAATTCGTTTGCTTTTCGTCATCTGACTCCAAATGACTATACCTATACCGACAGCTAATACATTTCGTGTTGGGATGATATCCAAGTTCATCAATTCACATTCTGTATATGAATCCGAAAGTTCATATGAATATTGAGTAGTTTCTTCCCCATATATCGAATCATTAAACCGTGAGAACTCATATATTATTCTCATGTTATTATCTTTGCTAAAGCGATCCATAAAATGTGAACGAACTCATTGCAGGCACCTTAATATGGAAATATACCTAGCATTCGTCTCTTTATAATGCATTATACACGAACCGTATTATATATATATGACGCTAATTTAAAGTGGAAATGAAAAAATTGGTAGCTACTCGCGGAACATCTCCTTACTATGATGATTTATAAAATTACTGCATTTAAATTACACGGTCGGTTGTTTATTGGCTGATCCAGGAAGTCCTATGGATAATAATCTGTTTTTATCTTAGCAGTAAATTATTTCTTTCTGAATTACGCTGTACGAGTATGTCCAGTTGTTTTGAAGCAACGAGATGGGAAGGTGGAGTCATGAAAAGATACCTAACAATTTGTGTTACCATTGTAAAATACATGAGGAATTATACATAGGCTGGAAAGGATCTGTTTGTTTTCTGTCTGTGTGACCAAAACCAACCGTATACAACTTTGTATCATGTTTTTTAGCAATACTCAGTGCCGTATAGGTCTAGTCATTGCAGACAGGGAAGGAAAAATGGGTGTACTGAAAAATGGGCTATCACAGACGAGTAAAAACAGTACTACCGGTATTACCAACGTAGGGGTCGGTATTTTTGGCGAACTGTAGCTGAATTGTGTGATATAAGTATGCAAATTTCTTGATTTAATATGAGAATAGAGTTTCACAAGAAATCGACCAAATCTATCAGATCCATTATTTCAAAGACGCCTTCTCATTGGTCCATTTTGTTCCAAAAGCACAAATTTTTACTCCCTCTGGTCAATACTAAAATTCGGCCTTAGCTACTCTACAGATATTTCGTCTATATTAAAGATCGTGTACTTTCGGATATCACCCCAGAATTTTTCTTGGGTAAACAAGTTTCGGTTTCAAGTATTCTGAAGTTAGAAGTTTCGGCGGTTAAAATCTGACGCGGCTTTTTCACGGGCCAACGCGGCGCGAAAATCCGAGAATTTCATTTTTCCTTTCGCCCTGGCGGGATGCGAAGGGGTTGAAAAAAGGGACTGGAAAATATTCGTAAAGTGCGGTGGCGGCGTTGGTGGCGGTATCAGGTGCACGTTTAATCGAAAAATCTCTGTCTTAATCCTCAATTATTTCTTAAATATTCAAAAGGCGCTCGGTGTTGGTGTTCCTTTAATAGGAAATCCCTTCGAGGTGCTGAAGGTAGACGAGAAAAATACTTAGGAGGAAATTAAAGTGTCAGGTTTGATGTTAAATAAACTTATCTTCCGTCTTTGCGATAGTTCTGGCGTAAGTTAAAGTCTTACGTTTGATATTTACACTACTGCTCGCTATCACCGAAGGATGACGACGTTAAACCTTCTTGATTTTTTTGAACAAAAAAATTACCTACAAAAAGTCCTTATTGAGCTTAGTTATGGAAAGAGGTATTTTCAAACAGTAGATTGACAGAATATGAATATTTTGCCTCACAAAAAGTATAAAATGAATATTTTTTTTTCACGAGAAATATAGAGGAATTGAATGAGTACACTTTCACTGACCGAATTTCAAATACGTTTCTTGCCAACACTAAAGCAAATATAAGGCTAAACTGCATTAGCCTTGATAAATAAATATACTCCATCTATTGAAAATTCAATTTTGTCTTTATGGACAATACTCCGCTGCTTTCAAGAAATACTTTTCAAAACAACGTCTACCATTGAATACCACTCAAGAAAATATCCTCAAGAAGGTTGGCTTTGCACACAACATTAGACAAATACTACCTACGAACAATTATAACTAAACAAAAAAATGAATGGACCGTCAAGCCATATATAATGAGTCCATAGTCTCCATCTACTTAATGTTGCGATCTAGAAATTTCTTCCCTGACCTAGCAACAATACCGACCACTTGGCAACAATGCTAAACCTCACCAGCCAGCCAGTGGGGAGATCCCGTTTCTAGCGTTGGATACCACAAACATGTTCAATACATTTCTCATCATTCAAGATGTAAGGCAAATGTACGGCGAATTCCATGATGTGTGAAATATGTCCAATAGGTCCCCACCTCCTAAATTACCCAATTATTAAACCCTACAAAAATATTTTTGAAAATGAGACTCTGAAGTATCAAAAAACGGGTGTTTTATTATTTTCTCCGCCCCGGATCGATTTTCAAAAACTATATAACTTTTTCATCCATGGCACAGTAGTGAACTTGTGGCAAAATTTCCTTAAAATTGGAACGATATATTCCAAGTTATAGCGGACAGACAGACCAATAGACCCTCAGACAATGCCAATTACCGCGGGAAGTAAAACTGTCCACATCTATTTTTTTGCGGATGAAAAAATACTACAGGTAGTTTGAAGCATACCAGAATCATTTTTGAGTAACTTCTAGAAATCTTACCATTTTTTTTAGGGTGTGATCACGTTGTATAAGGTATTATAACGAAAACTGCCCTTCTTCACAGCTATAAACTCGTTAAGGGTTGAAATAAGGGATTATTCTCAGCGAAAGCAAACAATATTTATTAAAGAATGTAGATGAGATTTCAAGATACGATAAAAATTAGTTTTACGATTGTACGGAGGGTTACATTTCACCGCGGTGAAACAGTTTAGTACTTAAATGCGCGTGTTTCAACGATACTAAAAGCAACTCGCATATTAGCGATACAACATGTATGTTAATGTAACAAGCTAATTAAGTCATTAATTGGCACATTTATCATACAGGGTGAAACATGTTTAGGCATGCATTCTTCCTACACACAAAAAAGAGACCTCTCGATCCAACACCACAAAGTTCTATGCAATTATGACATTGATTCGAGATCACAGGTACTTCGGGTAAGGTAATTTTGTTTCAAAGAAGTAGAACTCTTGCAAAGAAATATGTGTTTGATCATGATCCTCACTTCAAGATAGTTACTCTTGAATCAAGAGCACTGTTTTTTGTGTGTATTTAAAGGGAGCGTTATTTTATTGCACCTCTGGTAATGGTCAAAGTTGGATTAATTGACAAGTATAACATTTCATTCCAGAGCGATCATAGCAATAACATTTGAAATCAGTCATCCTTCTATATATCCATTCATTAACATTTTTAATGATATTTTTGGTTATTGTTGTGTATGTGGGGTATGTTAAAATATATCTACAGTATTTATTTACAAATAAATGCTACACATGACAATACCTGAAAGAAATGTCAATTAAAATAAGAATAAAATCATATATCAACTGAAAAATACAGACATAATTAGCTATCACTGTGTTTAAATAAATATAACTCTAATTATAATAATAATTAATAAGGTGGAAAGAACATGAAACTCTAGAAATTGGTTGGTTGCAAATTGCATTTTTGAGATCTATTTCGGGTGTCCTCCATTTATATATAGCTCTGAAGATTTGTGAACTGGAGCTACTTTTAGCAGTCTGGTGCGTAGGTAAAAAAAGAGCACCTGAATCTGTTGTTAAACTAGGAGCAAAACAACGCCCATAAAGAAAAAGTCTCTAGAGTGGCAGAGACGGGCAGAACAGTTCAGAAAACAACACATTATTTAGATTCCTTAAGGGTCTCCTATGCAAGACACATAAGGCTTTTACATTTTTCATGAGTTAGTATGCAGGATAAGGTTTTTAAGAAAAGCAGAAAGCTACATGCAAAGTCCTGTGTCAAGCCTACGGAACCTGAATAAAGGATCACAGTTGGATACAGAGCTTTGGATAGTGTATATGAGGACTACTAAGGATCATAGTTGGCTTATGTTTGAATCCAAAGGGGTGCTCTCGAATCTCGTACCCGACATATTCTCGGATGCGACACTGGAATTTTATTTTAATGATTGTCATCGTTTGTCACTGTGCTGTCACTATTGTTATGTTATTCAATTTTATGACGTGTTTGATTTGAGTAGTTTTAGTTACCTCGCATGCGACATTGACCACTCGACATTCGAGAACATCCCACCTAACCAAGGAGCTATGTTCTTTCCAATAAAACGGAACGTTAAATAACTCAATAATAAACTAAAGATAAAAACATAAAAGAAAACTTGTGTATACATACATGGCTTACTTTCGACGTATGCGTCCTGAGACTGGACTCCGTGGCGAAGCCTTTTCCGCAAATATTGCAATGGAATGGCCGGTTTTTTGCCCTTTCCACCTGTGCGTCGTGGTTCCGAAGGTGCTGTTGGAGGTTGGACAGCTGGATGAAGGCTCGTCCGCAGTCGGGGAGGTGACATTTGTAGGGTCGTTCACCTGAAAATAATAAAAAAGTTGATAACATAGATCCAAGGTACTAGAGATGGCTGATATCGTTACTTTTGAATATCTGTGATATCTGATATCGTTACTTTTTGCTATCAGTGACAAGATCACGACATTATGGGTATACTGATGAAATAGCATGGATTCTATTTGCAGGACATAGTAGTCCTACGATGGCATACGATTCTCGACATCAGCGGCTAGCTTGCTGTGATCCTACGATGCAATTCGTCGTTGCCCTGAATCAGCTACTTCTCGAGGTCGTGACCACATTACGCCTTTTCACGGTATTTGGTGACAGTCGTGAAACGTGATTTAGGAATATCAGTTACTTGATCACAGTCCGTGAACTATTTGCCACCACTACACGGCATACAACACTTCAACCTGATTTGGATATTTCTCTAGTAATATCGAGACTAGGGACGTGGATATCAAGCATGAGAAATCTGCAGAGGCTCTTTTGCTGCTAGATATCCACAACACTGTCCGAAAATTGAAGATTATATGAACTTGTACGTGTAGTGTTTTATGTCAGAAGCAAAGCATGTCAACCACTTCTTCTAAAAAGTAACAAGGAGATCAAGGTCTCATATCCCTTTTTTTCAACTGCCTGTTCAGAGCAATATTGTAAATCCTAATAATCTGATTATTTCATGGTGTGTATAGCGATGATAATGTTATTTAATTTTTTTTGTCAAAAACGCATTTTTTTGTGCATTATATTGTGCATCTTTTTTTAATCGTAATTTGTTAACAAATATTAATACTGCTCTGAAATTGTATGTGAACATTCCACTTTTGTGGAAGAATGAAGAGGGCGATTACTTTTATTCTTGTCACTTTTTCTTTTCGAAAAATCTTTGCTTTTCTTGAAGCACACACAATATTTTACAGCAAATTGAGTTTTCAAGAAAAGCATAGATTTTTTGAAGAGAGACAGTGATAAGAAAACAAGTAATCACCCGATTTATTCTTCCATATAAGTGGAATATTCACATACGATTTTAGAGCAGAACTATACTAAGTGACATATAAATCCGAACCCCCAGTTTAAATGGTTTTATTTTATTAAAAGTTGGTGAGTGTATTTATCTTACTGTAAATAACAAGTGAAAAAATTTTCAGCCTTATCAGTTGGACATTCCGGTTTTTATACTGCTTTTTTTAATTCACTAACGCTCTAAAAATGAATATTTCAGCCGCAGTAAAGAATCAACGTTGGCGGATTTTCGTTCTTGACATCCTTTACGATCGGTTACGATGCCTAGAGTACGGAGACCTGTGCGATTTCGTCAACTTAGTGAGTTTGATAGGGGCCGTATAGTGGGACTTCGGGAAGCTGGACTTTCTTTTCGGGCAATTGCAGTTAGAGTGCAAAGAAGTGTAGACACTGTGGTTAGGTGTTGTCAGGCATGGCTTCGAGAAGGCCGTACGCAAAGAGCAAGGGGCACTGGACGCCGCCGTAGAATCACAGACCGTGAAGATCGCCGTCTAAGATTATTGGCCTTAAGGGACCGTTTCTCCACTACCAGGTCCATTGCAAATGAATGGTTTGCAGAACACGGAAGACCTATTGGCATGCGAAGTGTTTACCGACGAATGAGAAGTTTTGGCTTGTTTTCATACCGGCCATACTGGGTCCTCCCTTTAACTCGAGAACACCGACGTAATCGCCTTGAGTGGTGCAGACAACGGTCACTCTGGGATCAGGAATGGAACAGTATTGTCTTTAGTGACGAGTCTCGATTTTGTTTAGGCATGCACGATGGTTGTGCCACGGTTAGAAGGCGACGTGGTGAAAGGAGGAATCCACAGTTTTTTGTTGAAAGACATGTTCATCACACTGTTGGAGTTATGGTTTGGGGTGCTATAGCTTATGGTTCCAGGTCACCTTTAATCTTCATCAGAGGTAACATGAACGCGCAGCGTTATATCCACGAAGTTCTAGAACCCTATCTTTTACCTTATCTTGACACCCTGGCAGATCCAACTTTCCAACAAGATAATGCCCGACCACATGTTGCAAGAGTCACAATAGACTTCTTTCAACATAATGATGTCACATTGTTACCATGGCCACCAAGATCTCCCGACTTATCCCCAATTGAGTACGTGTGGGATATGATGGGTAGGATATTGCTCAATTTGCAACGTCCTCCTCAGACTCTAGAAGCACTTCGAGGGGAGTTGGTGGTTGCCTGGAATGAGATACCACAGGAGGACATTGACCACCTGATCAGAAGCATGCCTAGGCGCGTTGGAGAATGCGTAGCACATCAGGGTGCATCCACACATTATTAAAGGTCAAAGGGCTTTAAAGCAGTGCAATCATTTTGAAATTTTTATCATTTACCTATTATGCTTCATTAAGTACTTATACAAAATTTTATTAAAATAAAACCATTTAAACTGGGTGTTCGGATTTATATGTCACTTAGTACATTATTTAATGGCAAGTTACGATTGAAATGCTTAAGAAATGCATTTTTCGCCAGAAAAAGAAACTGATAACATTGTTTTGTCATCTATTCCAGACAGGCTCTTGGAAAGAAGGGACATCCGACGCTAAGGTTTTAATATTCGGATTTCAATGTCACTCAATACCAAAACGCAAGACAGAAAAGATGCTCTTGCCAAGCCACAACTCTACTTCATAGTAAGTGTGCGCTATATGTCATATGGCTGATCGGCAAATTTAGATTAGTGTAGCCCAAGGAACCAAAATGTCAAAAAGATATGATGGTACGATTGATAAATTATGAATTTACAGGAAGTAATACAGTCTTAAAAAGACATGACCGGACTCGTATTAGAGTATAGTTATCTCAAAATCAAGAGTAAAATATATTATCTCCTACATATCGAAATTTCATTGCCATTCAAACCGGCAGAACACAACCTCTCCTAGCAAGATATCTATCATCACAGGTGATAATAGCCGATGCTTCACGGCCATTTTCCTGAATAGACGCTTTTTCATCGATACGCGGCGCATTTTCCACGGTACGTAAAACACATGATAAATCGAAGTTGGCGGCGTGGTAGGGTAAAAAAAATCAGTACGCGCGATAAGAAAAATTATAGGCCTTTAAATCTGTGGCCAATAAAAACGCCATGTGCGTTTATAATCACACGGTAAGGAGATCGTCTCGGGGTCCGTCGTTAAACGGTGCGGGATATGGTCACCTGCTCGATGTAGTCGAAGAGCTGTAGAGGAACGGCTTGGGCGAGGGGGCCAAGGGCGGTGCGAAAAAGGGCAACCAAGGGATCAAGGTAAGGGACTATGTCCTAGGTTAAGCACACCGCATGTAGCAAAAGTAACATAACGGCACTGTGTTCTTTCATGTAGGGTATTTTGAAAACAGGTCAAGGTCGTGTCTTTTTTAGCTTTGAACAAGAAGTTTAATGTTAGGTTTGACCTTGGGCCTCATTTTCAAGGTTCTTTCAACGTCAACCTATGTTTTTCAAATTGTGAGAAGGCTCCTTTTTGACTCCGGTGATTGAAAGGACCTAATTCTCTACGTGTGAATATGTCTTAAAGTTAAACATGTTGAATGGGCCACCAAGTGCGGACTGAGATCTATACAGACCCAACCAATAGCTGTTCTCTGTTCACAGTTGTCGATTCTAGTGGTAGATGGCACTTCTGTCTCTTCTAGGCATTGAAACCCGGCCGACATTTACCATAAATAATTCGCACGGTATGGCTTTCCTTCGTCCGACCACAGACCGCCAATCATGGATAGCTGTTTCATGTTATTTGGCAACTCATCAGGCGTGGTCTCAGTTAGGGAAACGTACAAAACCAGAGCAAATATCCTCTATTAAGGATATAAGGTCTATAGAAAAATAATTAATACTTCCGGAAATTCGACGAAATTATGCTCAAAGATTCCGTTACCTAGATACAGGCCAAGCTAATAAAATCGTGTTAAAAAGACAACACACGTGAATGCTTGGTTAGGCAAAACGGAGGATACATAAGACCAATATGATTAAGTACGTGTTCCTTTGACCTCGCAACCCCAGCGGCATTGACAGGTCAGAAGCAATTTCTTCCTTGATTTGTCTTGTGCCTCTTCAGAGTTTCTCCGAATAATACTTTTAAACACTGATCAGATTTGCAATTTTACTAGTATCGTAAATTAAATAATTAAAGGCGTAGATTTATGTTTTAAATACCTTTGCACAAATGATGGTTGGAATTTAACGAACTGTTAATGACCACTAGATTATTATCAAGCACCTGTGAACGTCTCTATCACATCACCGTTAAATGGATAAAGGTCATTGACAGTCAGAATACTACAGCTGGCATACCAAAAGGGCCAGTAATAATTTGCACGAAAACGTTTTTTCGTTGAGTTTGAATGATTTCTATGAAGTTGTGGTTCTATACACAATTTTGAGTTATTAAACTTCTAAAGGTACTTGCTTATTTTTAATGTTGAAGCTATATCGCGAAGGTTGAATCTAATCACCGAAATATTAAAAAAAGAAAAGATCTCCAATTGAACCGACTTTTGACGACAAAGGTCAGTAGAAACGGAGAAAGCTTCTATTCTCGGTAGAACAAGAAGAGAATGAATGATTAGAGGAAATAGCCTAACAAGTCCGTTGGGTAAGCCTAAAACGCGGCGGTATCATGAAGAAGAACACAGAGGAGCAAAGTATTGAAAATATTAATAATAATAATAGTAATAATGATTAATAATATAGGTCGAGATTTAGCTATTCCACCTTCTAAGCCCGTACAAAAGTGACTTGAAAGAAACAGGTTATACAAAAACAAAAAGAAATGTGAAAAAGATGAATTAATTCACAATGCAATGGAATGAGTAATGCCGATTTATTTATAAAGAGAAGAAGAGATAATAGGTTATAAAGAAACAGAAAAATAACTCTGATCAGAAATACAAGGTACAAAAATTAAATAACTCAAGATAGCGGTTGTTCTGCAATTCTTTTAAAC